GGGGGGGGGGGGGGGGGGGTCAAGGGGGGGTCAAAAAAGTTTTCAATCCTTATTTTCCCCATTTCCCAATCCCCCCTCCCCATAAATAATGACCACTCCCTAATATATCATTAATAGACCCTCCGCTCGGGAGATTCGGCGATATTTCCCTCAGTGATGATATTTTCCTCGGGGCAAAGCCCCTTGGAAAATATCATCACTTCGGGAAATATTACGCCGAATCCCCCTCGCTCCGGGTCTATAAATGTAAATATAACTCGAAAATGACATTGGTGACCCGCGAATTTTATTTCACAAAATGATTTCTCTTAGTATACTCAATTATTTTTAAAATTTAAAAAAAAATTGTTGAGCCAAAAAGAATTATTATGATAATACCATAGTTGCCTCGAAATCCTTTGTCTCGCGAGGTACGGTTAATCACTAATTTACCTCATTAGCCATGCATACGCTTTTGTCTTCTAAATTTCCCTCATCAAGCATGCAAGGGAAAATTAGAAGACAAAGAAATCCTTTGTTTTCAACTAAATTTCCCCGGGAAATTTAGTTGAAAACAAAGGATTTCTTTGTCTTCTAATGCATGCTTCATGAGGGAAATTTAGAAGACAAAAGCGTACCTCATTACTTCTGATTGGAGAGCTGTACCTCATCGAAAGTCATCGGCACAACTATGGACAGTATCTGACGACACCGTCCCGTACACATTCGAACAATCACTTTGCCAGCTTTTATTCCCTAATCTTGAACATTACAATTGTGGGAGAAAATTCCGTTTATGCGCATGCCTAAAACGCCAATGAACGCGAGATGTGTTTCTGCGCGTGCGTATATTTGAAAAGTGTTCGTACCACAATCATAAGACAATCAAACAACATTCAAAACAGGCAACACACCACGCAGTGCTTCCATTTTCAAGGAAATTTCCTTTTCTAAGGAAATTCTACTGTCGAAAAGGAAAATCTAAGGAAGAGAAAAAATCTAAGGAAATCTAAGGATTTTTTCCGAAAAACTTAAATATTCACCCAAGCGCATTAGTGCAGAAGAAGGTTTCCATTTTTTTAAATTTTTGAGTGAATTATCAATTATCTTTAATTAAAAATCTGTTTTTAACTTTTTCCTCGTGTTTCCGAAAATTTCCGAAAGTTTTTAAGCGATGGGATTTAGTAACTTTTGGCGCCAAACGTTGTGAATAGTTAATTAATCATATCAATGTAAAGGTATCTCTTGTAAATTCACAACAAATATTTAATTTTAAACAGTATAATAGCCTGTGGTTTTTAGCTAGCCCATATCTTTGTTAATTGTGCTATTTTGTGTCTTGAAAATTAATTAAATCCTTTGTATTGCTGCAAAATCACTGCAAACTGCTTCATGAAATTTCAAGGAATTTTCAAGGAAATAACATATACAATCTAAGGAATTTAGAGAAATTTTGATGACAAAAATGAGAAATTTTGATGACAAAAATGGAAGCACTGACACCACGCGCGATTCCCCAACCTCGTCCCCAGGGCCTTTTCAGGAAGGAGGCGAAGGCCCTTCGCCTCCTTCCTGAAAAGGCCCTGGGGACGAGGTTGGCGATTCCCTCGGCAACTATGATATTACAAAGTAATAGCATGGCATTACGGTCGATTAGTGATGAAATGTCCCTCAAGCCTCGAGAGGCTTTCGGGTACATTTAATCACTAATCGCCCTGAATGCCATGCTATTACTTATAAGTTATTATTAGCATGACAAAAAATTACTGGATGCTGATTGGTTGAGAGGAGTACAATTATTTCATTAATTGTACTGCAGTACAATTGATGATTTTCTCAAAACAAACAAAATGGCGGAAAGGGATTTTAAACACAGATGTGAAATGAAATTGCCGTGAAGGAACTAGATGAAAATACGAACAAAAGCACCAAATTTTGCTTGAACAAAAGAACTAAATGAAAATACAAACAAAAACACCAAATTTTGGTTGAAAGTCTGGCAGAACTGGGCTTTGGCGAGAGAATATGATGTTGGCATTGAGAAGTACGTATTCAGTTTTGTCATGCTAATAATAAACAAGTAATCATGCGATGTTGCTCGTACAATTAGGGATTAATAGTACTCGTGATGTTTGGAACGCCCCGGCGGATCGTCCAATTTTGGCAAAATTTCCAAACATCACTCGTACTATTAATCCCTAATTGTACTCGCTATCGCATGATTACCTACACTAATGACATTTATTTAATTTCGGAAATTGTCATAATAGTATACCAAAATAAATCATTTTATGAAATAAAATTCGACTGTCGTTTACGAGTTAAATTATTTTAAAGCCAAAATACCCGGCATATTGAAACGTCATTGTTGCCATAGCAACAGCAGTTACGTAACTTTCCTGGAAAAATTTAAACCCTTTAGATGTTGTTTTACTTGAGTAACATACTTTTTTTTGAACAAGTAATAATTGTCCAAAAATACCTATCTATATCGTGAATTTCTATTTTTTAAAACTGTATCGAGCCACCTTAAACTAACCTCTTGTTCAGTACTTAATGCTTCCCACTTTGATCCTTGATTGACATAAAGTTGTTTATCATCTTTACGATATGAGAGAAGACCTGGAACATCTGGAATCTTGTCAAAACTTTCCTTGTCAGATACTGTCAATGTCTAGAATAAAGAAATTCTTTCTTTAAATTAAGCACTTCTTTATGACGTCAATTAAGAAATATTCGATGCTTTACTGTGGTGATAAAAACCCATGCCTGAAATATTCTACTTACACCTTCGTTTAAAAATGATCTAAGTTTTCCTGAGCAGGAACCCTAAAAACAAACCAAACTGCTGGTTAAATTTAGTTTGTAATTGTTGCTGATTTCGCTGTTGCTGTGAACATTGCTGATACTAATACATCTGTCGTCGCCATTGTCGTCGTTGTTGTTGTTGTTGTTGTTGTTGTTGTTGTTGTTGTTGTTGTTGTTGTTGTTGTTGTTGTTGTTGTTGTTGTTGTTGTTGTTGTTGTTGTTGTTGTTGTTGCTGTTGTTTGTATTGTTTCTGTTGTTGTTGTTGCTGTTGTTCTTGTTGTCTTTGTGGTTGTCGTTTTCGTTTTCACGGGCGTTATCTTTAACGTTGTTGTTGTTGTTGTTGCTGTTGCTGTTGCTGTTGTTGTTGTTGTTGTTGTTGTTGTTGTTGTTGTTTTTGTTGTTGTCGTCGTCGTCGTCGTCATCGTTGTCGTCGTCGCCGCCATCGTCGTCGTCGACGTCCTTCCTATTGTTGTCATTGCAGTTGTTGTTTTGGTTGTCGTTGTTGTTGTTGCTTCTGGTGGTATTGTGTCTGTTGCCATTAATCACAATAGTGTCGTCTTAACTTTCCATAATATCCCCCACCTTTTGTGCAGTGCCTGTTTGCGGGTCAATGAAATGTTTTTCAAGTTTGCCTGCGGAATTTTTCAGCACAAACTCCATACATCTTTTCCACAGACGTTCAGGTATTCTGGTTCGCACCCAAAACCAAACGAAAGCGCTCTTCATTACAGTTCCACCATTAATTGCTGTACATTTAGGACCACAGTAGTTTTGTCTTCCACCTTTAGGTCCAAAACATGCACAACACTACAAAATATGGAGGAATGCAAATTTTTGAGACCAGTACACATTGGTCAAATTATTGTGAATGTTGTTTTAGTAATAGCATTGATGTAAGTGGCTTGTCATAAAACAAATAACTAACTACCTTGCCACGATCACATCCAACAAAATATGGAGGGTTACAAATATATTGCACATGGATTTAAAATTTAAGACTATACATTGATTATGATCGAATTGTTTTCTCGACTGGAATTGTTTTCCAAATCCTTACTATGGAAATAGTATGGATCTTAGTTGAAAATAGCACGGAAATTTTTATACAAATTGCAATTTCTATATGGAAATAGTATGGATATACTATATGGATTTAGTGATGCAATCGCAAATTCCATAGTATGAATTTCACGCGATTTTTTTCCAGTGATTGTGAACGTTCTTTGAACATTGATATAGGACATTGATATATTAAGTATCTTCACTATGTCGTATAACAAATAACTACCTTGCCATGATCACACCCAACAAAAGCTGTGGAATTATGTTTCATTCCAGAGAATGAAGAAACAGCGCTATAGCTGAAAAATATCGCAACTTAATAATAATTAACAATTCAATAACAATTAACAAGCGTCTATGCAAAATCAAACAGTTATAATATTAATTGTTTTTGTTTGTGGAAACACCACGTAAATTTATTACTGATTTATTATTACGTGGTGTTTCCACAAACAAAAACAATTATATTTTATCGCCATGCAAACATTCAAAGAACTTAGTTATAATGTTATTCTGATTGTGTATGGGTAATATTAAATTGAATCATCATTTCACACGCATTGACGGTAATTAAAACTCTATGTTCCAATACCTGTATGATCCAAAATTATCGTATCGAAATCTAACTCCGTCTACTAATATTGCGTAACCGTTATTGCACTGATGTCGAAGACAGTAATTCATTTTCCCCTAAAATCAGAATGAAATAATTATTTTTCACGAAGAAATTGGTGTAAAGGTTGCATATGCACAAAATAGGATTTTTGTGGGAAACATGTACCAAAAATTGTGTTCTCCCCCCCACACACACACACCACACCACTATATTTCAGTTTCCATTCCATTCCATTCTATCGTTAGTTTTAGTACTAGATAAAATAATTATTCTATCGTTTTAATACCTTGTCATTGATATTTGACTTCCTTTATATTTCAACTTATCCATATTATAGAAATTAGGCCAACAGTATTTATTTGTGCTAAAATGTGGTGTTTAAACCAGCATGAGCTCCACCTTTGAATTTACTTATGAGTAAATTCTTAAACACGTCCGGATTTATCATTATGATAAATTCGCGGCACATTTTCAATTGATCATAATAATAACTTCGCGGTACCTAACCCCTAATCCCAACCCTAACCACTAACCCCTAACCCTTATCTGACTTTTTAAACTTTTTTGAAAGTTTAACCTTTTAAACTTTTTTTTGCTTTTTCAAACTTTGAATTCTTTAATTTCCTAAAACATTCCCGATTATTTTACCTAATTTGGAGAAGTTAGAGTATTGAAGGCAAACGGTTGGTGATTTTAGGCGTCTCACTCGATATAACTAATGTTGATGGGATTTGCAGATGGAAATTCAAAGTGGAATTTTATACATTTATTTACATTTATTAGACCTCACCAGGAGCAGCACGACCCTCTGGCAGGAATTGAGTCTGCGGTCCAGCGACGCTTTGTAGTTCAGAGAGTCGCAGAGCGTTGTACCGAACTGGCACGTTTGATCCTGCCAGAAGGAGGATAGTTGCATTTTTCACAACTGCTCCTGGTTAGGTCTAGTAAATGTATAGAAATTTCACTCAAAATTTCCATCTAGAAATCCCTTCAACAATTGTTTATTTGATGAGTCAATTATTAATAGATTAAAACGACATGATAATTATTTCATCCAGGAAAGAAATCTGAAACTTTTACTAAAGCGGATGTAATACCACAAAAATACAGTGGGAGCCATTCTTTTGGGACACTATGTATAAGATTATTTTAAAATCAGCTGTATATATACCCATCCCAACATATGATGTATATGTGGTCCAAACTTTGAGCACTTGAAATTATTAGTAAGTACAGACTGCGTCGAAATATCCTCGACAAATGAAATATTTCCAATTCCAGCTTGCAGATACGGACATCCATTGTTCACAGAAAATAGATTTCCAAACTTCCGTTGCGGATTTAGTCGGTAAAACCTACAGTTAAAAGAGGAAATGTTTTACTTTTGCAACTCGCAGCACTCGGGCTCCTAGTTTCCAAAGCAAATCAAATTAAAAAGGCATGCATCTTACAGAAAGTTTTAGAAAGCGCGTATTTTTCTTTTGTTTTGTGTTGAAAAGAGAATTTTATGATCACAAAATTGCTTATTGCAGAATACAAAGAGCGGGTGTCCTCAACACCCTGTGCAGTTTTTATGTCAAGTGTTGATGGTTCGTTTTCTTGGTTACCTTTCCTGTATTGTTTGATATTGTTTCCTGTAACTTTCTCACTTTTTGTCGTTTTATTGCCGTTACTACTCTTGTGATTATTTTAGTTTAGAAGGTTTTATGGAAATATTTTTTCACCGGTCTCCAGCAAAGCTTTCTTACCAATCTGCCTTTGTTCCTTCAAAACCTTTGTCAGTCGAAAATTGAACTCTGAAATCCAGAACTTTGACATCACCAAGATCACTTGACCAATGTGGGGGTCCTTGAGGATCAACAGGGGTAGAATTAGACGGTACTGTCCAAGATACAGGACTATCCTTCATTCCAACCAACGCAAATCCACCACCATCTGTATGTACGTCACACCAAATCTATTTTGCCCAAGGAAATGACAACTTAAATTCTTCAAATTATTGTGCTGCATATGTGAACTTAATTATTGTGTTGCATACGTGAATTACTTATATTTCTTAAAGGCTTGTTCAATTACGTTTCAGGAACATGTTATTTTTCTTCTCCAATACTTTTCAGTTCTGTGACCGCTTTCGCTAAGTTGAAGGTCCAGAACAATGGAGAGGGACTGGAACTGGTCGTTAATTTCTGCCATCTCTTGCTTCACTTTTTGGACGCGAGTTCTTACTCCAGATATATATAGAGCTCACTGGATCTAATTAGCCTCAGTGAAATGAATATAACTGGAACGCTACCTTGAGATGAACTACATTTTTATTGGGGGTGTCTGGGGGTCAAGACACGCGGTTTGTGTTTCGCAATTTTCTCTAAACACAACTTTTATCGCAGAAAAATGCTCTTTCAATAAACAATTGTAAGAAAAAAGTAAAACAGAAAGCTTTGAGCGTAAATTTTAAGGCGGTTTTCAAAGAATACTTCTCAAATTCATTAATAATTCATGAGCAATTCAGCCAATGATAATCACCTATTTGATCACAAGATGCCATTTGGATAACACGGTAAAACTTGATGAAAGTCACTAGTGTTTTCATCAAATATCATAATTACGCATGCAAAATTACTTGAATAGAATTCCTAATTACGTTATGCTTGGTTAAGAATTCTATTCAAATCAGCAAACGAAAACATTCTGTTACGTCTCGATTCATTTGAGAAGCCATATAAACAACTCAAGCTCGTGTCTCACCGGGATATCCAAACACTCGAAAACAATATGTATGAAAACACTCGCGCTTCGCGCTCGTGTTTTCATACATTGTTTTCTCGTGTTTGGATATCCCGGTGAAACACTCGCTCTCGTTCATATATTACATATTCATGTTGACGGATTGACGGCGTTCTTCGCATGCGCGAAAAGACTGGGACTGGCTTTCAAGTTTGGCTTCAAATTTCCGGTTGGAGGTAAATTTCCAGTTATATTCATCTTACTGAGCATGTTCATGAGCGCACCGGATTTTGGTATGTATGTGAGCATGTTCATGAGCATACCGGATTTTGGAATGTAGCATATGAACATGCTCATGAGCATATCGGACTTTGGTATGTATAAATATACCGTCGTAAACATACCGGATTTTGGCATGTGGCGTATATGAGCATGTTCATGAGCATGCCGGATTTTCGTATGTATATGAACATGCTGATCGTCAACATAATGTACATTTTTGGAACTTGGGTAAGAAGATTCGCTCATTCTCTTTTTCTACAGGTTTTATATAAGCCGCAAGAGGCCTCATGTCCAATAGAGTCACAATATTTGAGGTGCAATCATAGGCAGCCCAATGTTATGGTTGCCTGCCTGCACGCAGGCGAGGCATTGTATAGTTGTATTATTTCCTAAGGTAGGCAAATTCAATCAAACTAACGATACATATACTTTCAAACAATCCAAAATACTTCAAATATCTTTAAATGTATTAATAATTTGGCTCCAATTCCTTTCAATGAGTATTTCACACTTCATCAACCTAAGCGCTCAATTAGAAACAGTGAGATGAAGTTATTAGTCCCAAGATCAAAGTTAGAGTTCGCAGAACGTAGCGTTCTTGTAAGAGGCTCTAAAACATTTAATAACTTGCCTGAACATGTCCGCCTAGAATCATCTCTACCTAGCTTTAAAGCTAAACTCTTAGACTTATTTACTGCTTAACTTATAATAGAGTATATATATATATATGTGTGTATATTTTAACTGTAGGGCCCTCATTGATACCAGTGATATATTACTGAAGAGGTTATACCCTACGGAAATAAATTTGATTTGATTTGATTTGATCTACGCTAAACTAATCACGGAAATAAAATCTACGATACTTTTACTATATACTAACAATATTTTAACGTACAAAACAAATTTGTAATGCGAGAAAAATACGAAATGTTTTTGCATTTTTTTTCAATTCTTGAATGAGACGATGCTGGATTCGCGCTCGACGTTTTTTATGGCGTTTCAAATGACGAATTTCTAATCTCATTGGCTGTCTTTTTCTACGTTTTAAAACCGTAAAAATGACAGCCAATGAGATTAGAAATTCGTCATTTGAAACGCCATAAAAAACGTCGAGCGCGAATCCAGCATCGTCTCATTCAAGAATTGAAAAAAAATGCAAAAACTTTTCGTATTTTTCTCGCATTACAAATTTGTTTTGTACGTTAAAATATTGTTAGTATATAGTAAAAGTATCGTAGATTTTATTTCTGTGATTAGTTTAGCGTAGATGTAAAGATATTTGAAGTATTTTGGATTGTTTGAAAGTATATGTATCGTTAGTTTGATTGAATTTGCCTACCTTAGGAAATAATACAACTATACAATGCCTCGCCCGCGCGCAGGCAGGCAACCATAACATTGGGCTGCCTATGGTGCAATCTCTTGAAATTTAATGTTAGCAATGTAGGGAAAGGAGAACGAAAGCCAAAGTATATACCAAACGCATGTGCACATTTTCCCGAATCAATAACCTTAGTTTACATCTCAGTTATTAACTGGTGGGAAGGCGTCCCACGGCGGGAAAAGTCTAATTGGTGGACATGACATTATCCAAACACATACCTTGTGTTTCGTTCCTTTGGGCAGAACAATCCAGTAAAATCCATCCTCAGCTTCGGGTAATTGATCAACAATATCAGTACAATCTCGAGCTGGGCTGAATATCTCACCCAATGTCGGAGAACCTGTCATAAGATACTAAAGTTACAATCTCTTCTGAATCTACTTACTTATATTCCAAAGAAATACTTGCTTTCATTAAAGCTCGCAAAGGTCTCATAAAAAGGCCTCGAGCATTGCTTCTGAAATGGCATAGATTTTTTAAGTGCATGCATAGTTCTTTACAGGAAATAAAAAAGGTTAAACTGATCGTGTCAAGCATTTACCGCCCATGCAAATTCGCATAGAACAGTTTCAGTCATATTAAACGTATGTAGCTTTACCGTCAACAAATCTCCATTGAGGAACACCTTTAATTTTTTCTGTACAAATCAGCAATTTCAAACGTCCAGTTCTGTCTTTGTGGTTCAGGTGTTGCCCAATGTTGCACTTGGAAAATTTCTGAAATATAATCATGCAAAACAAAATGCCTACGTCATATGGCCCTCCTATACAGTGTAATATTTTGCGTGGCAATGTCATGAATTATGAACTATGATGCTTATAGAGAATCGTTTTCCTTTTTAACATATTTTTGGGTAACCACGCTGGTATTGCTGATTTACAAATTCACATTAAAAATTCAGTGGGCTCGCTTGTGGCTCGGTTGCAATAGCAATGGTTAGTTACTGTGTTTCCTCGAGTTGCATTTGTCTGGTTTAATATCGGGGCCTCTAACACATATAGGCGGCGAGGTGGGAAGGTATGCCCCCCAGCCCAAATGTTGACCTCGTCCAGTGACCCTCGTCCCCCCCCCTAAAAATGCTGAAAATCAAGGCCCAGAGGCTCAAGAATACAAGATCCCACACCCGCTTACACGTCCTACTTTTCCTGTTCTGCAAGTCCAAGTTAGGACCTTTTTCGCCCCTTTCACTGACAAATTCTTAATTTAAATTCTGCTGTATCTTCACCTGTTAGAAAAGTAGTTGTAATTTGATTCCACAAAACACTATACGGGTTTTCCCCAGGAGCACATATTCCTGTTTTCTCATGCAGTTACATTTGAGGCAGTAAAACATGTCTCTATACTGTATAATACACTGTAAATTCTTAACACTGGAAATTTTTTTCCAAATCTTAACTATGGAAATAGTATGGAACTTAGTTGAAAATAGTATGGAAATCCAATTTTCATATACTAATTGCAATTTCCATATACTACAGTATGGATATTGTATGGAAATAGTATGGATATACTATGGATATTGTATGGAATTAGTATGGATATACTATGGATATTGTATGGAATTAGTATGGATATACTATGGATATTGTATGGAAATAATATGGATATACTATGGATATTGTATGGAAATAGTATGGATATACTATGGATATTGTATGGAAATAGTATGGATATACTATGGATATAGTATGGAAATAGTATGGATATACTATGGATATTGTATGGAAATAGTATGGATATACTATGGATATTGTATGGAAATAGTATGGATATACTATGGATATTGTATGGAAATAGTATGGATATACTATGGATATTGTATGGATATACTATGGATCTAGTGATGCAAACGCAAATTGCATAGTACGAATTTCACTCTCAGTTTTTCCCAGTGTAAGTTATTGACCAAGAAAGATTAGGCATTTGGGATTATAACAAACTAATATATACTGCATATTTAATTCCCCATTATATACGCTCAGAATGTTGAATTAATTATTAGCAATATTTATCTTACTGCTGAAGGAACTCAATAATCTGGGTCAACACACTTAACAGTTGTCAAATTTCATTGTACATTATCCAAACACGAAGATTGAGATATCTTAATATGGTCAGGCTTATGCCACGTTTCAGATTATTTTATTCATTGTTTTGACTGTTTCTTCTTGTATGAAGCTGCTGTATGGTTCAACTCTTTTCATTGAAATGTTTCTTCATTCTTGCCAGATCGATCACAGCAGATGTGACGAGGTAGCCCGACTTGTAAAAAAGTATGTTTGCTTGTGAAGTGAATCCAAACTTTCAGAACAATTAATGAAAGATCGCTGATGCACTTCTTACATATACAGTACACTGCTGATATACTCGTTTGCCTTTCTTGGAAAACTCTATACATTACACTTACAAAGACTCTACATGTACAGGATGTCCAAAACATGACCCCACTATGTTTTGTGGTATTACTATGTCGGCATTGATGTGAGTTACATATTTTTAGTAGGCATCAAGTCGGAGTGGAGCATGCCTGGATTAAATCATGACTACTATAATTAAGTTATACCTCCTATACTACATAAACGGTTGCGGTAGTTCATATATAGCCACATTTATATGTGTTCGCTTAACCGCATGGTCATGCTTCATTTGCGTCGCGGTGAAACTCGCCTAAAAGGAACAGTGGGTTAAGAAGCAACAGCCGGAAATTAACAAAATTTAGCACCCAAAATACAAGGATCACTTCAGGCTGACGAATAAGACTGATTCTTTAAAAAATCCTCTAGAATTAATGCATGTTCCAAGTAAGGGCAGGCGGGTATTCGCAGGTGTATACTTGATCTAATACCATTGCAAATGGAAAAGCATATAATCTGTTGTTGGGTATACTAATGAGGAAACTCAGAAACTTTTAAATAGCAATTATTAGACGACGTGTAATACTGATCAACAGTTTATATACTAATTAGAGAAACAAATAATTTAAAACACCAAACTATAGGAACAATTTTTTTCGACTAGAAATATAAAGAACCAGTTTTAAGAACCAACTCAGCCCGATTTCTCATGCACCAAATACCCGAATATAAGAACCACTTAAATAGCCTGACATAAAAATAGTGGTTCTTTTATATGCGCGGGTTTTTACTGTATGCATTTCTTATTCCTCAGTTCAAGTTTTGGGACACCCTGGATATAAATCGAGCGAATACCCTGGGAACGAGGTTGGATATAAATAATTTTCAAAGTTTTTTTAATATTTTATATTTGTTATGCTTTCATGATTAACACACATGGATGTAAAGAATAGTTATGCGACACATATGTTTGATCGATCCCATGGGCAGTTCTCGCTTTCAGCTGACGATTCAAGTAAAACCACATATAAAATTAAATAACCAAAACAGTATAAGCAATCAGCCTTTCTCACGCCGCCATTTTAGCTAGGGGTACTGTAATTTTTCGTAAACGATTATAACAATGTAGAAAGCAGTATTTCCGAACAAACTATTTAGAGAGTAAATTTATTTATCATGCATCCACAAAATTATAAAATGTCGCCGTTACATGGTGTTATGCTCGCAGGATTGGCAAAAAAGTACCCCAAAAATGGCGGCGTGAGAAAGGCTAATTGCAAAGATGCGATCGCATGTTAAGAAATATAAGACATATCTACTATAAAAATCGCGTGTCATGCTTACAATTCACAATCGTAATATACATGCGCAGTAATATAAAGAAACTGCTGGGCTTAAATTTTGAGAAATATATAAGACATTTTCCAAAATGTATCACCTATCATCATTTTAGTACCAACTACCTTGTCGCTTTGCGATAAACCAAAAGCCAAGCTCAGCCGGGCTGAGAAAATCAGGATTTTCAACAGAATCTTCGCAGACATCATGTTGTAAATTACGTCTCCAAGCAAGTTCTGTCTTCTTCCTTCAGCTCTTGTATTTATTAACAAAAACCAAGCACAGTGCCAGCGCTAGACCTCTTTGAATTGGGGCCGGGGGTGTGTAAGTGAATTTTGCCAAGTTATCATGGCAAATTTTGCGGAGTCATAAATTTTTTCCGACGACATATTCCTCAAATCTTATCGATCTTGTGTTTAACCACCGTTCTTCACTTCATTTTCCCCTAATTTTTTCATGCATGAATTTCTCCACAATTTTGCCGACTACCTGATCACGCCGGGAAGTGTTCCACAGCCGGTCCTGACCATTGAACTATAAATAAACTGGAAGGCTAACTGCTATGATGAAGGCGGCCTATGATTTGATGAAGCCAAAATAGTTTTTCTGAGTTATGAGCGGAAATAATTGACCTCAAACGTCGGGCAATATATCAAATTGAAGCTATTGAAAATTGCTATTCGGTGTGGAAATTTCAAGACTTCAGCGAAAAGAAAAATATTTAAAAAATACAAAAACAACTGCGAAACGGCAAATTATCGGTAATTATGTTTGTAGTTTTTCGATATTTCCCTTTTAGCTAAAGTCTTGAAATTTCTACACCAAATAGCGTTTTTCAATAGCTTCAATTTGATATATAATCCAACGTTCAGTGTTGAGTATTTCTGCTCATAACTCACAAAAACTAAAATGCACTGGCTTCAATTCCCCCCCCCCCCTGAGTTAGCCTTCCAGTTTATTTATAGTTCAATGGTCCTGACCAAGCATATTTCAAAGCCAAGTACGAAAAATCGTTAATCAATTTTTACGATATGTTAAATATATAAATATCTTCGGTTTATCAAGCGCTAGGCAAAGGAGGATGAGAGTTAATGTGAGCTTTGGTTTGTTTGACTGATAATCTCTGATCAACTCTCATGTGACTCTGTTCTTGTTTGAGAGTTGGGAAAACTCTCATGGAAACTCTCGCTTGTAAACCCTCATCAACTCTTATCCCCCTTTGACCGAGTTAAATTTAATTTCGAAATCACTCCTTTTGTGTAGTTTGATGTTTGACGAATTTCAAATTAATCAATCCTCCAAATCAGCTTCTTAAAGAAGAAAATTATTCATACAGTATATACATGCAGGTAAATACACTTCAGATGTCAAATTTCATTTATAATGCGACACAACATACCATCTTGAATGGCCAAGTTCTGGAAGTTTAATAAGATCGTGCAAGATAACGTAACATGATGGATTAAATATACAAGACCACAGAGCCCTTTACACGATCCTACTCTTTTCCCGTTCGGTATAACTCCTAGTTAGGACTCTTTTTCGGCCCCTTCAAAAGGCCCTGCTCAATATAATTATAATTTCACCTTTATACGCGGGTTTTCCCCGGGAGCACATATTCCTGTTTTCTCATGCAGTTACATTTGAGGCCAGTAAAACGTGTCTCTATACTGTATAACCCTCCCAAGAAAGAGAACTTTTTAGGAATAACACTGGAATTTTTTTTCCAAATTCTAACTATGGAAATAGTATGCAACTTAGTTGAAAATAGTATGGAAATCCAATTTTCATACACTGTCGTGTAGTATGGAAATAGCATGGAACTATGGATATACTGTGGATTAGCATGGAAATCCAATTTTCATACAAATCGCAATTTCCGTATACTATGGATATGTGCAGCTATTTCAATTAAGGTTGTCCAGGAGCAAAGCGGAAAAGTCGAATATATACGAGCGCGAAAGGCTGCTGGGAATCGCTAACAAATTAATAAATTTTCAAAGCGATTCCCAGCAGCCTTTCGCGCTCATATTCGACTTTTCCCCTTTGCTCGTGGACAACCTTAATTGAAATAGCTGTATATACTATGGAAATAGTATGGATATATACTATGGATCTAGTGATGCAATCGCAAATTCATGCATAGTATGAATTTCACTATCAGTTTTGCCAGTGTAAGTTATTGACCAAGAAAGATTAGGTATTTGAGATCATAACAAGCCAACATATGCTGCATATTTAATTCCCTATTATATTTATTTTACTGCTGAAGGAACTCAATAATGTGGGTCAACACACTTCACAGTTGTCAAATTTCATTGTACATTATCCAAACACGAGGATTAAGATATCTTATATGGTCAGGCTAATGCTGCACGTTTCAAGTTATTTTTATTCATTGTTTTGCCTGTGACTATATGTCTTCGTGTATGAAGCTGCTGTGTGCATGGTTAAATCTCTTTTCATTGAAATGTTTCTTCATTCTTGGCAAAGCGATCACAGCAGATGTGACGAGGTAGCCCACCTTTTTAAAAAGTATATGTTTGCTCCTGAAGAAAGCAAACTTTCAGAACAACTAATGAAAGATTGCTGGTGCACTCCTGGAAAACTCTACATTACTCTTAGGCTACAGTACATAAACCCTTGCGGTATTTCAAAAAGCCACATATATGTGTTCTCTTCTGCCCGCATTTACGTACAGTAAACAAGCAAGTTGGTTAAGAACCAGCAGCCAGAAATTTAGGAAATTAAGCATCCAAAATACAAGAACCACTTCACTCTTCTGAGGCTCACGAATGAGACATTAAAAAATCATCTGGAATGCATGTTCCAAGTGAAGGGCAGGCGGACCGGTATTCGCAGTTAATAGCATGCTTGATCTAATACCATTGCAAATGGAAAGCATATAATCTGTTGTTGGGTATACTAATGAGGAAACTCGGAAACTTTTAATACCAATTATTATAGACGTGCAATTCTGATAAACAGTGAGTTTATACTAATTATATAAGGAAACAAATCATTTAAAACACCAAACTATAGGAACGTACAAGTCGATTATTTTCGACGTACTATATTTAAAACACGCGTATATACTACAGGTATAGGAGTGTTTTCTCATATTTAAAATTCGAGTGCAGCTCATCACGAGCATTTTAAATATGGCAAAACACGACCACAAGTGTTTTAAATGGCTTAAAACACGACTACAATAGAGTGACTTCCACGAGCATTGTTATGTATTGTCTGCAGAATACAGTTGAATTATAGCTGCCAAACGATGTCCAATGAAACCAACAATAGCAAACACCTACGCACTCGGGTTGAGCATGCAAATTAGTTGTGGTCACCGGTCTTTGACTCTTGTGGTTCAATTGTTCAAAGCTCAACACAGATACAAGATTTTCTGCATGCACAATATTTCGATCGTTCAAGGGAAATGTTCACTGATGGCAAAAGTGTTGTTAATGATGAAGCGAAAAGAGGAATTAAGGTTAGGCATTTTGAGCTAACGTTTCCAAAGTAATAGATGCGTAATTCAAGTAGTTTTACGTTTGCTAGCTGTGTTAATAATAATGTGCACATTGCACAGTTCTTTTCAGAACTAACGAATTTTGGATCTTAAACCGTCAGATATTTAGCAGTTCTCGAGAAAATTTCGTATGTATTTGAGCGATATCTTTCTCATTCATCTTATGTGGACCTCGTATATATTGCCCATACAACTATTAAATAGAATATATTTTATCAGGTATAAAGTCCGTGTACATGCATGGTCAAATATGATCATGACGTTATTGGACAAATTGCCTAACGAGTAATGAATATTAATGACTGTTTTAATAAAAATATAAAGAACCAGTACGTTACGAACCGACTCTATAGGTACAAAAATAGCCTGACATAAAAAATAGTGGGTTTTTTAAATTTATGCGCGGGTTTTACTGTATGCCTCTCTTATTTTTAGAGACGTTCTTCAGTTCGGGTGGAATTTTGGGGACACTCTGTATATAAATCATTTTCAAAGTTTTTTTTTATCTGTTATATATGCTTCGCTTTCTTGATCAGTTAACACATATGCATCTGAAGGATAGTTATGCGACACATATATGTTTGGGAGATGAAAAATAAAATCATAGGCCTATATAAAATTGCTTCTGCATCACCAAAACAGTTAAATAGCATAAGCAATTGCATGTTAAGAAATGAGATATATTTACTATAGAAATCGCGTTCCATGCATGCATACAATTTACAATCGTATAATATACTGATGCGCAGCACTGAGTACCTGCTGGGCTTAAATTTTGAAAAATACCTTGTCGCTTTGCGATAAACCAAAAGCCAAACTCAGCCATGTCAAAATCAGGATTTTCCACAGAATCTTGGCAGTCATCATTTTGTATAAATTTCTTCTCCAAGCAAGTTCTGTCTTCTTCCTTCAGCTCTTTGAGACGTAATGAATGTATGAACCTATTGTGTTTTCATTTTTAGCGTGCACGCCTCTTGACAACTGGTCAAAAAATAGGTACGCGACCGCGTACATGTATCTGCGCATTAAAGGTCCAGACACGCTGGACGCGATTCGACAACGCGACGCGATTTTTCGATTTTCACTGACCGTTAAATTTAATCCAAGTTTATATTTTCCAAATATTTAGAAGCGCTATAACATTCTAAGTTACTTGGTCTACATATGTTTGTAACTGATTTGCTCTCATTGGCTGTTTTTCAAACTAATTATACTGAAAAATCGCGTCGCGTTGTCGAAGCGCGTCCGGTGTGTCTGAATCTTAAGGTCTGATTCCACGACGGCGAAATTCGTCGCGAGAGCTTGTGTCTGCGAAATACGGTGGTTGCACATGAGCGATTGTATTGAATTGTCCCACTTTGTCCGCTTTCGCAGTAAGTAGAAATGTTTCGCATTCATTGATGGTGCATTCTCGAAATGACATTTTTACAGCAATTGTGCGAAATTGTGCTAGTTGAAATTACATGCCTGCTTCAGATGTAATATTTACATTTAACTAGTGACTTCTAAATTAAGAGGACGAGAACCATTTATATCCCGAATCACGGCAACTGATAACAATCATACAAAAATGTTTCTTTTTATCTGGAGCTAAATATCTGCTATTCATACAGTTCATTACTTTTAAGAACAATTTAAAGAAAATAATTAATTAAGGCTGTAAAATGTGTGGATTTATTAAAGACGTGGGATTAGACGTCTGTACATGGAGTCATGAGCTAATAATAGTTTCTGACATTTAAAACAACAGGGCTACGTTTATCCTATGCTTTATTTTCATAGTTTAGCCTAGTTTCAGAGGCCTCCATTAAATAACAGTCAAGATATATACGCAAATATAATTTGCGTGTCTATTTAAAATTTGTAATTGTTTCGTGAAGATTCAACCATAAAACAATTGCCGGAAATGCAGGTCCTGTTTATAAAAACTCAGGGAAAACCCGTGAGGTATGAAATGCATGGCGTAAACATGTCAATCAAATATCTATAAATATGACGTTTTATAATTACACAGTACATCGTGTACGTTCTTGTTGTAGAACTTGTGTTGCTCCAAATCGAGTATGAAGTAAAATCAGGAGCATACTGTCACAGGCTAATTTTGTATTTTAATACCTCTGGAAATATCAAGGCTTTGGTACCCCTATCTATCACAAAACTGAGTAACAAATCCAAAACGAAGTATGAGGACTAATATTTTTATATATATCATTTCACAGATTAAAAGTATTATTCAAGAAATATGTCCATTTTGATCTTAACGTGATACAAAAATACTAAATAACATGCAAAATTCAGTGCCAAAGAGGGATTTATTTTGCGGTAGTTAAATATGTAAACATATGTTCTCAAACTGGCAGAGTTTAATACCAATTAAAGCTCGCAATGCTATATATTTGGTTTGATACGAAGATAAAATAGTAAATACTCATAATATATAATTACAATATGTCCATGACCTTACTCAAAAATTTAAATTATTAAATCACATAATGGAACAACTTGCAATTTGCTACGCTCACTCGTTAGCAATAGTTCTCTTCAACACTCGAAATAAATTACATATTTCCGCACAACCATGTATAAATATTCTCTATACATTCCAGTTTACCTTTAATTTGTCAAGCTGTCAAGTGGTAGGCACAATATTAGTCCTTTTGATTTGTTATTCCCTTTCCCCAACACGGGAGTGATAGGAGCTTGAAAAAATGACAGTTGAATACTTGCGTGTAATTTGCTCGGAGCAATTTGCAATCAACATTGCAAGATTGATTGCAATGTTGCAATACTCATGGGAACAGAACATCCGGTTTGACTGTAAGAGTTATATCAAAAAGACTGCTATAGAAGAAGATTTTATCAAAATAAAATCAGGATAAAGTCTATTAATAGTTTAATACCACGATTACTAATGATTACTACTCTTGAAAGCTTTTCGAAAGACGCCATCTTGTTTTAAAGCTGTTCTAGCCTGCGAACAGGCCTTCAAAACAAGGTTGACGGACTTAACAACTTAACTTAACTTACTTAACTTTACTTTACTTTACTTTACTTTACTTTACTTTACTTTACTTTACTTTACTGACTGACGCGATAGCAATATATCTGCGCTACGCGCAGATACAAAAAGAAGTTTTGACAAAAACCATGCACAGGGGCGGCGATAGACCTCTTTGAATTGGGGGTGTAAGTGAATTTTGCCGAGTTATCACGGGAAATTTTGCGGAGTCACAAATTTTCCGGACGACATATTTCTCAATCTTATTTTGTGTTTAACCACTGTTCTTCGCTCCATTTTTCCCTAATTTAGTTTTCGTAAATTTCTCCACATTTTAGCTATCATTCTTAATTTTTAATCGGTTCCGCTCGACTATTTTGTTTTCTTCTTTCCTATCCAAATCCATGTTTTTCCGACTGGGATTCAATATTTTTGACGACTATACCTGATGACTTAGGGGAGGGAGGAGGGTGTTAAATTACACCACCGGCCCTGACCAAGCATGATTTAATTGCAAACTACATAGAGAATAATACATGCATGGGTGCGCGGAAATACCAGATTTATTTCTCGTGTTGAACATGATATCTCACGAGTGAGCGCAGCGAACAAGTGAGATATCATGTTCAACACGAGAAATAAATCTGGTATTTACAAGCACCCGTGTATTTTTGTATCTGCGCGTAGCGCAGATATATTGCTATCGCGTCAGTCAGTAAAGTAAAGTAAAGTAAAGTAAAGTAAAGTAAAGTAAAGTAAAGTTAAGTAAGTTAAGTTAAGTTGTTAAGTCCGTCAGCCTTGTTTTGAAGACCTGTTCGCAGGCTAGAACAGCTTTAAAACAAGATGGCGTCTTTCGAAAAGCTTTCAAGAGTAGTATTAGTAATCGTGGTATTAATAGACTTCATCCTGACTTTATTTTGATAAAATCTTCTTCTATAGCAGTCTTGCACTGATATAACTCTTACAGTCAAACCGGATGTTCTGTTCCCATGAGTATTGCAACATTGCAATCAATCTTGCAATGTTGATTGCAAATTGTTCCGAGCAAATTACACGCAAGTATGCAACTGTCATTTTTTCAAGTGCCCATCACTCCCGTGTCGGGTCAAGAGAATAACAAATCAAAAGGACTAATATCTTGCCTACCACTTGACAAATTAAAGGTAAACTGGAATGTATAGAGAATATTTATACATGGTTGTGCGAATGTGCGGAAATATGTAATATATTTCGAGTGTTGAAGAGAATATTGCTAACGAGTGAGCGTAGCAAATTGCAAGTTGTTCCATTATGTGATTTAATAATCTAAATTTTTGAGTAATTAGGTCATGGACATATTGTAATTATTATGAGTACTTACTATTTTATCTTCGTATCAAACCAAATATATAGCATTGCGAGCTTTAATTGCCAATTTGTATTAAACTGTGCCAGTTTGAGAACATATTATGTTTACATATTTAATTTAACTACCGCCAAATAAATCCCTCTTTGGCACTGAATTTTGCATGTTATTTAGTATTTTTGTATCACGTTATGATTAAAATGGACATATTTCTTGAATAATACTTTTAGTCTGTCAAATGATAGGAAAAATATTAGTCCTCATACTTTGTTTTGGATTTGTTACATTTTGTGATAGATAGGGGTACCAAAGCCTTTGTATTTCCAGAGGGTATTAAAATACAAAATTAGCCTGTGGCAGTATGCTCCTGATTTTACTTCATATTCGATTTGAACAACACAAGTTCTACAACAAAAACGTACACGATGTACTGTGCAAATATAAAACGTCATATTTATAGAATGATATTTGATTGACATGTTTACGCCACGCATTTCATACCGCACGGGTTTTCCCTGAGTTTTTATAATCAGGGCTTGCACTTCCGGCAATTGTTTTACGGTTGAATCTTCACGAAACAATTACAAATTTTAAATATAGACAAGCAAATTATATTTGCGTGTATATCTTGACTGTTATTTAATGGAGGCCTCTGAAACTTAGCTAAACTATAAAAACAAAGTATAGTATAAACGTAGCCCTGTTCTTTTAAATGTCAGAAACTATTATTAGCTCATGACTCCATGTACAGACGTCTAATCCCACGTCTTTGAATCCACACATTTTACAGCCTTAATTAATTATTTTCTTTAAATTGTTCTTAAAAGTAATGAACTGTATGAATAGCAGATATTTAGCTCCAGATAAAAAGAAACATTTTTGTATGATGTAATCGGTTGCCGTGATTCGGGATATAAATGGTTCTCGTCCTCTTAATTTAGAAGTCACTGGTTAAATGTAAATATTATATCTGAAGCAGGCATATAATTTCAACTAGCACAATTTCGCACAATTGCTGTAAAAATGTAATTCCGAGAATGCAACATCAATGCAGTAAAGGCCTGATTCCACGAGCGTTTCTTCTCGGCGAAATGCGAAACATTTCTACTTACTGCGAAAGGGGACAAAGTGGGACAATTCAATATAATCGCTCATGTGCAACCACCGTATTTCGCAGACACAAGTTCTCGCGACGAATTTCGCCGTCGTGGAATCAGGCCTTAAGGTCCAGACACACCGGACGCGATTCGACAACGCGACGCGATTTTTCAGTTTTTGAAAAACAGCCAATGAGAGCAAATCAGTTTGAAACATATGTAGACCAAGTAACTTAAAATGTTATAGCGCTTCTAAATATTTGGAAAATTTAAACTTGGATCAAAGTTATCGGTCAGTGAAAGTCGAAAAATCGCGTCGCGTTGTCGAATCGCGTCCGGCGTGTCTGGACCTTTAATGCGCAGATACATGTACGCGGTCGCGTACCTATTTTTCTGTTTATTATATAAACAAAATTGAAAAACAATAAAACATCCGTGGCAATGCGTTTTACAACAAGTTCTCTGATTGGTCAAACATTTCTTACGCGCTTTTTGATTGGTATATATTGGTTTAAATGTAGTTTCATTAATATTACTTCATGAAATGCTAGCTATAGAGTCGTTTTTGATTTACTGACATTGTTTTCCACAGTATTGCAAAACCAAGTACGAAAAACCATTCAATTTTTACGATATGATAAATATATCTTCGGTTTATCAAGCGCCAGTCAAACGAGGATGAGAGTTGCAAGTCGTTTGACTGCCAACTCTCATCAACTTTGAGCTGGTTGAAATTTTGATGACAGTTAAAGATGCGGTACAGTCCGATCTGCGCATGTGCACAAAGGAGCCCTCTTTTTATTTACAAACAGTTTATTTAGGTTTTTATTTAATTTTATGTTCTTGCAAAGCTTGATTGTCGTGTCTTCATAATTTATTATACTCTTGAATAATGAAAATATCAATATTTTGGATACCGAAATGTAAACAAAGCCTTTGTTTACATACGGACTGTACCGCATCTTTAATGTGAGCTTTGACTCGTTTGAGTGGTAATCTCTGGTCAACTTTCATGTGACTCTTGTTCTTGTTTGACCGGGGCATGAGAGTTGGGAAAACTCGGATGCAAACTCTCGCTTGTCAACCCTCATCATGCCCGAGTTTTAATTTCGAAATCACTCCTTTTGTATAGTTTGATGTTTGATGAATTTTAAATGATTAATCCTCCAAGATCAGCTTCCGCTTAATTAAAGAAGAAAATTACTCATACAGGACAGGAAATGAGGTAAATACACTTCAGATGTCAAATTTCATTGATAATGCAACATTATCCACACTACACACAATGCTGTTTGGCCAAGTTCTGAAAGTTTTATATAAGATCAGGCAAGATAACGTAACATGATGGATTATTGCAGGTCTATTTTGGCAATTCGAAAAAGATTATTCTAAGTATAGTCAACTCGTGCTATAGCTAGACACCGTTTATACCATAGCAAACCGCTACCACAGCAGATGCATGAGTTTGTTCGAGTTTGTTCGGAAACAAATGCTTCCTAGCCTTCCTTAAAAATTAATTAATCTCGGACTCTCAGGACCGACCACAGCGGCCTAATCTCATGTATATATTATAGTAAAAATATGCCAGAGGGGGGCAGTTTGGCAATGGCAGCAAATCCGTCCATCAGACAACCCTGACTCCAAAGGGCTTGGTGTTCTGTCTGTATTTTTTAAAAATCTCAATGTTTAAAATTAACAAAACCATTGTTGGAATCAGCTATAATTGTTGATGTCATGCTTAGCCTCATTTAATGATTGTTTGGCATATTATATTATATAAGAAGCTGAGTCATTGTTATTCAGTCATGCATTTGTGACGTGCATATGTGATGCATGTTAATTTCCATGAATGTAGGCCCCCTAAATTGAATTAAATATATAGTGTATATGTTTTTCTTATTTGGGAAGAGGGTTGTAGATTTGTAAATGGCCTCTTGGCGGTTTAAGCTATATGTAGATCTGTTCTGAAGAAAGCTCACTTCTTAAAAATCTCAAGTTAGCATTTTCAGAAAACACAAATAAGAAGGGACACGAATCAATATTCTGGTACAACATATCATATCTATATATACGAAGTTGCAGATGCATATTGTTATCTAAATACGCATTTTGGACGTTATATATATAGCAGGAATTAGGCGTATAGTCCGGTTACCACCCACAATGTACATAATTATGTGACTGATAACTGTTTCGTACATTTTCTACTTTTAGTTTATGCTAAACTATTTATTTTGTGCTTTTATACCAAAGATTCGTCCGATATTACACATCATATGTTGCTTAAAATCGAAAAATAATAGATATAGAATGCAATGCTCATTAATTATGAATCATGTTTCCTCTTCTTTCATGCAATTCGCCATATTGAATTCGACTAATAGTAAATGTGCTGTGTCAGACGCGATACACATGTTTCACTAATTTTAAGAACGAGAAAGGTTTATTTCCTTATTGTGCATAAAAAACGTTGGCATTTTCTGAAACCCCGAATAAAAGAACGACGCGAAACAATATTCCAATCATAGGCCTACACTTTTATTCTTTTAAATTTAGACTCTAGTGCAACATTTTTGTACCATGCATGCACTCTACTTCAAAACTCAATTCGCCTAATGGTTTTTTTCAGAAATGATCCACACTCCTCCCATGGAGGAAATTTTGGGATGATAATAGTATAAGTGAATATATTATGACATCCGATCAAAGGGGGTTGGAGGGTTACTGTAACTTCAAATTTCCTCTGGAGAGGTATAGATGTTTTCTGGGATGACCCAATGACATCATGTCTTCTACAGTGAAAAGGTTGATCAAGACGAGGTTTTCTACTCTAAAGATACAATCTAAAGACACTGTTCTGGTTAACCTAGAAATAGATATGGTGTCGGGTTAATTTAATATTCCTGCTGAAATTTCCTAATTATTTTAACCTTTATCTTACTATAGTCTGGTTAATTAGACCAGGACCTGACTGCCTACTTAATATAACCAGACCATGCTACGTAGGTGGGTAAATAACCAGGACGTTCATGTAATTTATACTGATTTAGTTATAAATGTGTATCCTCTAATTGGCCACTAGTTTCCCTAGCTAGTAATTCCGCCATATTGAATTCGACTAGGATCGAGTAACTGTATTGTTCTCTTAACTGTTCTGCAAGTGTCAGACGCGGTACACCTGTATATTTTACTGAATAATTTAAGCAAGGTTTATTATATTAGCAACAATAAAGGTCTATTTCCTTAATAATAGATACATGAAACAATTTCATAATTCTTATTGAAAAAGCCATCGTAATAGAGTGCCAAAAAAAATGTAATAGACCTTACCGATTATTCTCTTTTACCCAATGGTCTCGTTTTCATGTCAAATACTTGCTCATGTTTTGTGCTTAGTAGGGTTGAAAATTATTTTGTTATTGAACGTAAGAACAGCAAGAAATAAATTCGTCCAGCAAAACATGGAAATATAATCATTATCTGCTCCTGACATGCTAAAATAAGTTAACATGGAAACGAGGCCAGTGGGTAAAAGAAAATAATCGGTAAGGTCTATTGTGTGCCAAAAAGTAATATATGACCATCACACAAACAAAAGGCACTTTGGTTAAGTTTTGTCTTCTGGCAGTTATGAACTAGAATTGTTGTACCATTCAATCACCTATTTCGCATGTGTTTCAAGCAGTCGGGTGTTTATAAATTTGTTTCTGCAACTTTTTCTGGATCCCCAAATAAGGGCACCTCATGCACTGTATTTCGGTAAACAGTCCCATGGAGAGGGCAATTTCTTAATGCTATAATGCTACCATTTTCTGAACCCCAAATAAAGGAATGACGTAAAACAATATTTTGATCATCTACTTTTATTCTTTTCAATTTAAATTCTAGTGCAACATTTTTCTATCCTTTTACTTAAACATAAAACAGATTTCCTATTGTTAAGTTTATATAAAGCTATAAGAAGCTCCATATTGATTATTAAGTATACCAATTTTGAATATGTAGCGCGAAGTGAATAGTCAGGTAACCACCCACAGTGCGCATATTGTTAGTGATAATTATAAGTTCTATAAGTTTTAGTGTTGTGTTAATCTATTTTTGATTGACACTTTACCAAAGACGCGTTCTATATTACTTATCGTATTTTGTGCTACGTTACAGTTTATGTATTATCCCTCAAAATCCGCTCTTCTATCCTAACTCCAACATCGCAATTTTCCCAGTGTGTAGTATCCTTTCTCAATAGCGTTACCGGTATCTCCAAATCTCAGCTCAGTAACAGGCAGTGTGTTCTTGTCAGTCAGATATCCACTGTCTTCACGCCATGCGCTATCATTCTTGTCACAATTACATTTTCCTCCACCTGCACAGCTGTTGGTCATTCCACATGCACATTTTCCACTGTTGACTGCCGCTCCACCCCAGTAATTCATCTGTGAACCTTGACGTGATACCCACCAACCATAAGGTATAGTAGTGTACAATAAAACGGTATTGTAACATTCATATTTTATAAACTGCTCACAATTCTTGGATTGCCCCATAATGGCAAGGATCTGTTCCATGGAAATATCATATTTAATGTTTCGCTTGTAAGAACCTGGAGGATCATATCCATTCACAAGTGTTCTTGATCCACTGTCATGTCCAATCACCGTCACACCAACATCATTCTTTGACGTCATATCACAATATACTTGAACCAATGGCGATGAACTAAGTCCTTGAGGATTTAAATAATACATTCCACTGCGTGTTGAAGGATGTTTTATTAACAAAGCTGAACAAGACGGTACTCGATGAAACCTGGCAATATCTGAAAACACAATAATTTTCGTTTGTTTTAAAAGCTGTTAAACCCAAAAATAATTCCTGACACGCACACGCCTAATACTACAGTAATTCTGGGTATTAAGGGACTATATGTGGATATCAGTAGACACTTCCAAATTTGCTTGAGTGGACAAGAAACAATAGTTTGAAATCGCCTAATCGAGGCGGGCAATGTAATCCTTTGTAAGCACCCACAGTGCGGATATTGTTTGCGATAATTATGTCATATAAGTTCTACTGTTGTGTCTAAACTATTTTTGATTGACTCTTGTACCAAAGACGCGTTCTATATTACTTATCATATGTGTTGCTAAGTGACAACATTTCAGTTTAGGTATTATTCATCAAAATCCGTTCTTCTATTCTCACCCCAACATCGCAATTTTCCCAGTGTGTGGTATCCTTTCTCAACAGTGCCACCGGTATCTCCAAATCTCAGCTGAGTAACAGGCAGTGTGTTCTTGTCAGTCAGATATCCACTGTCTTCACGCCATACGCATTCATTCTTGTCACAATTACATTTTCCTCCACCTGCACAGCTGTTGGTCATTCCACATGCACATTTTCCACTGTTGACTGCCGCTCCACCCCAGTAATTCATCTGTGAACCTTGACGTGATACCCACCAACCATAAGGTATAGTAGTGTACAATAAAACGCTACCAAAACATTTATATTTTATAAACTGCTCACAATTCCCGGACTGGTTCATAATGGCAAGGATCTGTTCCATGGAAATATCATATTTAATGTTTCGCTTGTAAGAACCTGGAGGATCATATCCCTTCACAAGTGTTTTTGATCCACTGTCATGTCCAATCACCGTCACACCAACACCATTCTTTGACGTCATATCACAATATACTTGAACCAATGGCGATGAACTGAGTTCTTGGGGATTGATATAATACATTCCGCTTGGTGTTGAAGGATGTTCTTTTAACAAAGCTGAACAAGATGTTGGTGGATGTAACACAACATCTATAAAACAATTTTTCACAATATCTATAAAACAATTTTTCGTTTATTTTGAAATTAAAGCTGTTAAACTCAAAAATAATCCCTGAGACGCGCACGCCTAATACTATTCTGGGTACGTAAGGGTAGATGTGGACATCAATAGACACTTCCCGAATTTGCTTGAGTGCACACGAAACAATAGCTTGAAATCGAGGCGGGCAATGTAATCCATTGTAAATAGACAGTTTTCATTGCCAGCCAGAAAATTCGGGAAGTTAATTTACCATATATTTATACAAGAAGAAACTGAAGAATAATTTGCAAGCTGCAGATATAAAACAAAATTGGAAACTAAAACGACGAGTGCACATACGCTATTAATAATTAACAATTATTGAATGAGTTTGAGCACGATATGAAGAATTATCACTTCGCCTTCGGCGAATAATTGTTAATTATCAAGCCCGCAGTTTTCGGTTATCAACCTCAGCCTTCGGCTTCGGTTGATAACGGCGAACTGAGGGCTTGATTATTAACAATTATTCGCGGAAGGCGAAGTGATTACCGGTGAATATTCATTGTAATCACTGAGCCTTAGGCGAACAATTGCTTTAGTATAAATTTTGGATTTTAAAGAATATCACGGCAAGGTTTTTCCGAATCGATCGAGTCGGGATAGTTTTTTCTATTTGTTTGAAGTGAATGTTTGGGAGTTTTAAATAAGTTTCAAATTGTCCGTTAATATGTTTGACACAGTAATTAACTAATAAAGAAATCCTATACCTTTCAAGTTAAATACGACATTTTGTGCTTCTTTAGTTTTCTGGGGACGGTTTTTTCAATATTTTGTCGATTTTGAAACCAAATTTGCCGAACATTCTTTTTGAAAAGCATTATTTACTACCCAGGTGATAAATAATGCTTCAGATTTACTAGTCAACTAGCCAATCAGAACGCGCGAAAGCTTATTTGATAAGCAAAATTATACTAATTCTTCATATTGTGCGATAACCGAATTCAATAATTATTTTATTACTTATTTAAAAAATTCAAAACAAACGGAAGCCATTTGTATTTTGTTTTTATTAAGAAAAAAACAATTCCTTAAGGCCCATCTACACGATACGACTAGTCGTATACGATTCTTATCCTGGATGTAACCGAATAAATGCATGTGTAAAGATGTCACATTTCAAACTTCGCCATGAACTGATGAACAGTTCGTTTTCATACGCCAGGATAAGAATCGTATACAACTAGCCGTATCGTGTAGACGGGCCTTTAGTCCTTCGGCAACCGTCGTCGTCATCAATTAATGGCGTCAACGAGTCAATATGATTCTCGTCGTCATAGTAAATATAATATGGCGCAAACGCGTCCAAATTTTTTTCATATTGGCTCTTTGACGTCATTTTGCTAATATGAATGTGAAAAATCCATATTTGGTTAGCCATTGACATGATATGACAATTTCACAGTTGGCTGTTAGCTAATCAGAAACCAAGAATTTTTTAAATAAATAATAAAACTGTTTAATGCTCCCCATTATCAATTTGCGTATCACTACTCATCTACAGAGATTCATGTTTGGAATTTGGATATTACGTTTGGGTGTTAGAGTTTGGCGGGAGTTTAGGGAACTTTTTCTGATCTTAATCAGCTTGTCTAAGCAAAGCAAAGAAGTAAATATAACTATCGTGTCAGATAGTGTTTTCTACTTTAGCTGCATGTATTAGTAAAAAGCAAATATTTAATACTTTAAATTAAATTACTTGAACTTGGTTTAATAAAATTGTGATATAGCCTTATTTTCCATAACCCTAACAATTATGTACGCTTATTAGTCTTTTCGTTTTCCTACCTTGGTTTTGTACTTCCAGCTTTTCGACTTGTTTCTTCAATTTCTCAAACTAGAATAAGATTTAATTGACAGATTATAATAGAAATACCACCACTGAAAGTGAGGTGGCATTTTTTGCGATCCTGTATATTTAAATCATTTTCAAACTTTTTTCGTCTGTTTGCTATTTTATCTATATAGAGCATATAATATATGTTATTTACCGGCTGGGAGGTCCGTACTGAAAAATATTTTCCCGTGGTCTCAGAAGTTCTGAGACCTGCAAGGTGGCAAGGGAAAATATTTTTTAAGTATGGACCGATCTCAAGGGTAAATAACGTATTTATTTTTTTGCTCCACGCTTAAATTCCTAAAAACTCCAGTGGCAGTGTTGTGTTTGTTACTTTAATTCAGTGCTTTAATCTAATTCCAAGCATGGCTGACATCTTGCTAAAACGCCTTAATTTATTTTTGATGCAATAGATGCCTTTCTACTCAACAAGACAATAAAAAGGTAAAGCAATTAAGAGGCAATTTTTTTCAATGTCACGTATTTGCAATGAAAAGTGTTCAAAACCTAAAATCTTTTTGACGTTCCTCTCAAAATTACTTTGTTTTAGCTTTATTCTCTAGTTTATTGAGTTAGCAACCTTTTTAAATGCATCTACCGGTTGAGAAACATAAAATAATAGTTAAAAATTGTCAATTAAAATAGGCTACAATTATCAAACATGCTTTAAAATTGACGGACTTGAATGATGCATGTGATTTCTTGCACCTCACTTGGTGGAATTAATATTAGAATGTTAAGGTTTGTAATCCAAGTGATTATATACATTTTAAGACCTGACCAGGAACGACTGCGAAAAATGCAGCACAAGGTCCTCTGGTAGGAATTGAACCTACGGCCCTGCGATTCCGAGCCATATAAGCAAAACTTACTGAACTTCAGACATCATTTTCTCTTTGGCGTATCATCTAAAATCTCTTCACTTTAGCATTATTTTACAGATAAAGCACTAAACATACTTTTTAAGTTTGTTTGCCGATTGAGAAAAGTATCGAAGAATAAAAAATTTGAATTTAGCCATAACCTCAAGTGGTATATTATACGCATTAGTTTTGAGCGCGTGTTACGTAACATACAAAAAAATCTCCTCTTAAAACTATTTATTTTCCTAATCATTTTAGCCTATTAATAACATGCTTCAAAAATGTTCTTTCGACACGCAGAAACAAATTGTACTTGCCGAAAACATTGTGTTCATGACAACATTTATAAAAATATATGACTGAAATAAGTCTAGAAATCATGTTTAAACTGCCGGGATTTTTTAAATTTTGTGTTTGAGGACAAGTCCTTCGTTCCAGTATTTATATTTTAACGTATATTTTTCGAAATATATAGCTGAATATATGCTGAGCTTTTAACATTAAACATTTGGAACTGATTTTTTTATACTTGTACGTCAAGAAAATACTTGTTTTTTCGCATTTAGGTCGAAAAAAGTACATTTCGGGTTTGACACTAAATCCAGCTTATTTTTCTATCTTTAGTATCGATAGGGAGGGCTTTTCAGCTTTTTGAATTGTTTTTTTTTTGAGTTTGAAAATTGTCTTCACTCCTCGGTTTGCTTTGGCGCGATACGGACGTATCGTATGATACGCGGACCTCTCGTCAACCAATCAAAAGGCTCCATTTACGTTACGGACCTGGGATTACGGATGCGAAAAAGATAAAGTTAGTTATTTATGTTAATTGCAGAGGAATACAGTTTTGGGCTGGTATAATAGTTTGTGGGAAATGCCAAAAAAACTGGTACTGAGTCAATATATTTGGCCTCAAAAAGTCTTAGGTCATATATATTAAAAACTACTTGAAATTGGGTTTCCTTTATCATAGGTTCCTACATTACAATAATTTTCTTGAAATTTCCTTGAAATCGATATATATATATATATATATATATATATATATATATATATATATATATATATATATATATATATATATATATATATATATATATATATATATATATATATATATATATGTTTTGTGAAGTGTAATAACTTTTTTTTTATTAGAACTTTACTAACAAACTATTGAATAGCATGACATTGATTATCTAATAAGCTATTACATTCCTTCCCTCTTAGTTTGGGAAAACGATCCTAATGTCTTTAATTTTTTTATATTTCTTTGTCCAAGTATATAAATTAGCTAAGTGTAAATATAAAGTTTTTAAAGTTACTGAAATGTACGGTAGTACATCCTAATTTTGAACTTCATATATCCTAGCTGATCAGTACGGATTCTAATATAATCTTGGTGTCTTCGTATTATTTCACCAGTGCTCAGCCTCACTCTAGCAGAAACAGGATCAGTTTCTCATCCACAGCTGCCGACATTCAACATTTTGGACATCTGAAATCTTTCATATAAACAGTGTCATCCACTTAATTGTATCTCCGGTTATCATGGGATGATTTTTGTTGTGTTTGCTTTTCCAGGACTCGGTCGCTAACGTTTGGGTGGAGTAGGTCCAGTTGGGTGTGTAGTTTGCATTTCATCAACAACTGAGCCGGTGGAACTCCGCTGGTGGAATGTGAGGTGATATGATACTTGAGAAGAAATCTAGCCAGTTTGGTTTTTAGACTTACTCCCTCCATTTACGCGATTCATTCCTTGAATACACGAACTGCCCGCTCTGCTTGGCCGTTAGAAGCTGGATGATACGGTAATATGTTTAATGCCATTCTGACTCATAAATAGCTCAAATTTGCTGCTTGAAAAGTTAGTCTGTTCTCCGATTGAAATAAGGTTGTAATTCTTTGCTAGGACAGGTGTTGTTCTGCCAATTTCCAAGGGTATACTGATGTACCTTGGCAAGTACTGTATCTCGTCTTGTCCAATCACGAATTTGGCCAGAATGCAAAGAATTCCTTCCAAAAGTTCCACCATCTTTATGGTGTCTCATTTCTGGAAGTGGTAATCGACTTAATGCATCAGCATTCCCGTCCATTGCTTCTGCTTTACACTGTATTTCATATTCATACGCAGCAAGCGTTTGTGCCCAACGTTGAACTCTGGATAATGCCTGTGATGAGAACCCTTTCTTCTTTCCAAATAGACCTTCGAGTGGCTTGTGGTCAATTCGAATTTTAAATCTCTTGCCATATAAAAACTGATAAAATTTCTTCATCCCAACGATCATCGCCAGTGCCTCCTTGTCAATGGTTGAATAGTTCCGCTCAACTGGATTGAGTGAACGTGAAACATATCCTATGGAACGCTTAGTTCCATCGGAGATTCTGTGCGACAACACGGCTTCTATTCGGTAATAATCCTATAAGCGCCCTGCTTGCAATAAACTCAATAATCTGGGTCAACACATGCACTTAATAGTTGTCAAATTTCATTGTAACCTAAATTCCAAACACGAGGACTAAAATATCTTAATATGGTCAGGCTATAATGCCACATTTCAAATTATTTTTATTCATTGTTTTCCTTGTGACTGCATATGCTTTCTTGTATGAAGCTACTATATCGTCTGACTCTTTTCATTAAAATGTTTCGTCATTCTTAATTGGCAAAGCGATGTGACGAGGGTAGCCCACCTTTTATGCGCATTTGATCATATACTATAACATGTTAATTTGCGCAATATAAATATTAAATATTATTATTATTATTATTTAAAAAAGTATGTTTGCTCCTGGAGTGAATGCAAACTTTCAGAACAATTAATGAAAGGTCGCATCGCTGATAAGACTCTGAATATTACACTTAGAAAACTCTACATGTACAGGATGTCCAAAATATTCCCGGACTATGTTTTGTGGTATATACTATGTCGGCATTTGATAATGAGTTACAGATTTTTAGTTGGCAATCAAGTCAGAGTGGAGCATGCATGGATTAAATCATATAACTATATATATACTATATAATTAAGCTAATAAAAGTTAAAGTGTATAAACTTTTGCGGTAGTTCATAAAGCTACATTTATATAAGCTCTCTTAACCATGGTCATGCCCTCATTTACGTATACGGTACTGAAAAACCCGCCTAAACGAACCAGTGCATGGGTTAAGAACCAGTACCCTGAAATTTAGGAAATTAAGCCAGGGCCGTAGCTAAGCATGCATAGTTGGGGGTAGGCCAAACATTTTGGAATGACGAAAAAAATTTCCGAATGTTTCATGGCATATGAAGCCACGAAGGTGTTTGCTATCCGGAAAATGAAAACGCAATTTACAAACAAAAATACTCGTATTTTACGCACAGACATTACAGAAGCGTGCACTTCCGTAGGAAGTTCTTTTTGATGGGGGTGGCGAGGGCCGAAGGCCCGAGGAAATTTTTAAATTTAGAGTCTCTGAAATGCCATTTCGTGGACTTTGGGAGAAGTTTTGACAGAATTCTGATGGTCAGAAAACAGTTTTACCACGTCGAAATTAACAATTAATTTGCTTACAATTTAGAAAAACTAAATGGGCGAAGGCGTATATGGGTAATACGATTCTTTGCGGTTTGTCATGGGTAATGTAGCCGCTTAAAATTAATCAATTGTCAGTATTTTAAAGATATATTGAGGGCTGCCCCCTTCCCCCCCCCCCCCGTTGCTACGGCCCTGGGAAGTAATAAACCGAAAAACATTTACCGATCTACGATTTGTTAAATGTTATCCATGTAAATGCCGTGATTTTGTAAATCAGTTTATGATGCTGACAATACAATTTTATATAACATTTTCTCTGTTTAAACAACTAAAATTTTGTTATACTATTACTGCCGTAATTTTCCGAATGACCAACCTGATTTTCCGAATATGTTAATTCTAAAAAAGTTGGGGGGGGGAGGTCGCCCAAAATTTTCGATTGAAAAAAAATTTTCCTACATATTCATATGCCAGCTTCCTATGGCATGAAATATTCGGAAATTTTCTTCGTCATTCGGAAATTTTTGGCCTACACCCCCCCCCAACTATACATGCTAGCTACGGCACTGGGGGGGGGGGGGTTAAAAACACCCCCAATACCCCCCTTCGCTACGGCCCTGAATTAAGCACCCAAAATACAAGAACCACTGCAGGCTGACAAATGAGACCAGGGGCGGATCCAGACCGATGCCAACGATGCGAATGCATCGGTCAAAATTGAGAAATTATGTTGCTTGAAATAATATATAGACATATTATACTTGGTCAAGCACTCAGTAAGGGGCCGACCATTTAACTTTTGAGGGGGGGGGGGTGATTTTGAAAGAAAAAAAATCCTGCAAGGCTATTCTGGACAAAAAAAAAATACCTGCACTAACAAACTGAGGAAAAAATATCCTGCCCCAGTATTTGGTGGGGAAACAAATGTTGCAAAACAGCATGGTTGCAGGGATCGATTTGACCAGTCCCAGAAGATCAGCTGGTTTGATTTTCAGGGACTGGTGTAAGGTTAATTTCTTGTTGGAAAACTCCTCAAAATGCTGGAAATAGCTTATCTGAGCTTCAAAAAATCCAAAATTTTCTGGGGGAGCATGCCCCCAGACCCCTCTAGAGGCTCGCACCTTCGGTGGTCGACTCAGTTGTTGCTGCCCTATGACGTATACTTATTAGTTAAACCATGCATATATATGCTGTAGGTAGCTGCAGTGATACAGACAGGGCTGTAGCAAGGGGGGTATTGGAGGTGGTTAACCCCCCCCCCAACTTTTTTAGAATCAACATATTCAGAAAATCGGGTTGGCCATTCGGAAAATTACGGCAATTATTTAATAGTAGAACAAAATTTTAGTTGTTAAACAGAGAAAATATTATAAAATTGTATTGTCACTATAAATTGTAAGCAAATTGTAAATTTCGTCATACTAAAACGCTTTTTTCTGACCATCAGCATTCTGTCAAAACTTCCCCAAAGTCCAGGAAATGGCATTTCAGAGACTCGAAATTTAAAAATTTCCTCGGGCCTCCGGCCCTCGTTTTCTGCCCCCAATAAACAAAAGCTCCCTACCGCACTGCTTCTGTAATATTCTGTGCGTAAATTATGCATATTTTTGTTAATTGTAAATTGCGTCTTCATTTTCCGAATAGCAAACACCTTCATGGCTATTAATAGTATGCCATGATATATTCGGAAATTATTGTCGTCATTCGGAAATTTCTGGCCTCCACCCCCCCCCAACTATACATGCTAGCTATGGCCCTGGATACAGACTTGCCGACTGGAACTTCTCCAGGTCCCCCGCTAATTATGTCCTCTCCAGTTGCACATCCTTAAAAAAGGCACTGAACCAAATGTTATA